ATGGGTTACGTGGTGCCCAACCAAACAGGAAAACAAACGACGCATGTGATCAATTTTATAACTACAAAAGCATTTGAAATTCAGATTGTGAGTGGCTTCGGAAGGTGATTAAAAAAATGCAGTTACTGGGCAAATGTGAAGAAAAAAACATAGTATTGGATGCCAAAATAAAGAAATAAAACTATATCTTCCTATTGTAATGGTTTTGTTGTGTTGATTATGATGCAAAAATCTGTAAAAATACATATTGGCAGGTTTAATTTAAAAATATGACAAACTGGATCCTACACTTTATTGTCTTGGGTATAAAACACAGATTGCCTGATTGTAGATGCCACTCCTCTGCTGGTTAATGCTACCACCTTGTGGTCATGTAGTACCCGTGCAGTTTGTTGGCAGTAAAACACAAACCTAAAAGGATGTGCTCATTTTTGGTTTTTGGTTGTTGTTTTTGACCAATCAATGTCTCTTGAAGGTCACTCAAAAACGCTGGATCGAAACAGTTTGTATCACTTAAGAAATATCTCCAAACTGCAAAGGTTAATGTTAAAACATGAACTTGAAATGGTTATCCAAGCCTTTATCTCCTCCCGTCTGGATTACTGTAACACACTTTTCACATGTTTTAAGAAAAAAAGCCCTTGACCGCCTTCAGTTGGTTCAGAACTCTGCAGCGAGGCTCCTAACTGGAGCAAACAGAAGGGCACACATCACTCCTATTCTAATGTCTCTGCACTGGTTACCCATTAACTTTAGAGTTCATTTTAGAATCCTGACTATAACTTTCAATGCTCTACATGATCAAGCTCCTCCTTATATTACTGAAATGTTAAAGCCTTATGCTCCAACTCGAGCCCTCAGGTCCACCCACCAGATCTTTCTAGTAGTTCCAGAGACTAAATATAAAAGTCGAGGTGATCGCTCCTACCAGATTGTTGCACCCCGACTTTGGAATTATCTTTCTTTATCCCTATGTATTATTAACAGTATGGACACTTTTAAAAAACAGCTTAAAACCCTTGTATTTAAAGCTGCTTTAAACTAAATCTCTTATTTTATTTTTTATTTCTAATTTGTAATCATCTTTCGTGTTATATGGTATTTTATAATTTGATGACTGTTGTTCTGATTTTAATTTATTTCTGTTTTAAGCTCATTATGACTTTATTCAATTGAATTCAATTCAAAAATTATTAATCCCAGAGGGAAATTAGAGTATCAGTACACACAATTCAGAGATCAAACATACATACATAGACACATGACAAGAATTGGTGACTGTGGTCATTCACAACCCGAGTTGCGCTACCGTAATAGATCAAAAGGGTTTATATGAGGATAGAGTCAGGGGGAGGGAAAAAAGGCACTTCAGAGTTACCCTCAATAGAGAGGGTAGCTTTGCTATGCAAAAAAACACCTCAGACAGATATGCACACAGACTTCAGACATTACACAACACAAGTGTCCACTAGGTGGGGAGGTAGGGTTGGGACTCTCCTCACTTCAGTGTGTGCAGCCACATGGAGTAGCGCTCATCAACTCCGTTTGGACAGGGGAGGGAGATAATGGGTTAGAGGGCACATTGACTCCTAGATACGGTTCCACGGCCTTCACCGGTCACAGTCCCGCCCAGGCTGGGATAGGGAGAAAGAGTTTCCATAGCGACGGCAGCATTCCACATTTCTTCTGAGGGGAATTTACACTTCAGCCTCACAGGCTCCAAGGGCACCAGATTCAGATAAGAATTGTTTGGGGACAGACAGGGATAATTTCCTCTCTGCCTTAGTGTTCTGTTGGTCTTCAACCCCTCTAGATCCAATAATGGTGTAATTAATCTATCCCAATCCGTGCTGATCCGTCAACTCGCTCCTTGATGGAATCCACCTTTCGTGCCAGAGCCTGAATCTCAGCCAAAGTTCCAAGCTTACGACTCATCTCTACAATTATATGAGTTTGTGCGTTCACAGCATGATGCATCCCATCCCTGAGCTCCGGGATTGAGCCAATATTCCTCGAAAGCTCGTTAATTTTCCAGTAAGCCATGTAACCGCTCAGGCCAAACAGCAGGAATCCCGACACCAAAACGACAAATATCCAAACATCTTCAGAATCCTCTACAAACAGTTGAGAGAGGCAGATCAGGTTCCACTGTTTCCAGGAGTCCATGATATACCCAGCTGGCTCTGTCCCAGAGGGGCATCCAGGAGCCCCTTCTCCCGTTCTCTTTGTTGAAAAAATTGTATCAATCGCATTGAGAGACCAACTAACCAGATCCATTTTTAATAATTTCCAGTTTCTAGAAAAAATGCAGAAAGCGCCGTGCACACAAAGACATGACTAAGAGCCTTGGGATGAGGAGGGAGGGAGAGGAGAAAAAAAGCATCTGTACTCTCCAAGAGCCGGAAGAATCCGGATGCTTTGTTTTGTTTTGATCTATGTGAAGCACATCGTGATTCTATGTCTGTGATGAGTGCTATATAAATATAATTTACTCACTTACTTATCATAATTGTCATTTTATGATTGTTCTGGTAGTTATGAAATTCCAGCCAGAGATAAACAGGTTAAAAATTTCCTAAACCATTTTCCGCTGCAAGTAAATTAGTAATGGCCCGTTCCGATATTGATATCACATATCAGCCCAAAAACACTGTTTTTTGTTTGTTTGTTTATTAAGATCTCCATTAGCCACTGTTAAAACAGTTGCTATTCCAAAAACCCTGTATCAGGCTATATCCGACTGCATCAAAAATCTCTGATATTAGTAGTGCATTCCGCTTTAAATTCCATTCCAGCAATTTTTTATCCATAATATAATTTTATCCATCAGCGCCCAGATCCAGCATGCAAAGTCCACGTGATCAGAACAGTGTGTGCTAACTAATTAGCAAGAAACAATGTCAGCCATGTGGCTGCATTTTTCGTTAAAGTCCGAAAAAGACGGTTTGAATCAGTGCAGCACTTGTCATGCACAAGTTTCCGTGGTGGAACAGAACCCAGGAAGATAAATACGTCCAACCTCATCGTGCATTTGAAGCAGGATCACAACATAGCACGAGGATTTTCAGTGTGTGAAATTGAAACTTTAGACACTCAACTTGTAGCAGTTGGTCAGTGAACAATATTGTGGGTTTTTTTCTCCTTATGTCCCTAAACTCAGCTGTTCACATTCATGCAACCAATGGTTAATAAAAAATTAGTCGGTTTTTAATACTTATTGTTGTTTACTTTTGTTTTCTATTTGAGTAATATGACTTGATCAAGCCTTTTAAACATTCCACACTATGAAATAGGTAAAAGAATGTTTGATTTGTGCTGATATCATATCGGATTGATATCGGTCAATACTGAAGGCTGCAATATCGGTATCATATCAGAAGTGAAAAAAGTTGTATTGAGATATCCCTAAAGTAATTACATACTTCTAAATGAAGTAAATTTTTACTGAGTAAATTTTTGTAAAAATAGCATTTGCTTGAACCGCTGTGGCATTTTACAGATTAGAGTTGTTTCAATACAGCAGACTTTGTAATTGACCCTATTGTTACTAGTTATTAGCTCATGTTTCCTACTCCAGCAAACCAGACTTAAAGAACCACATCACCTCTTTACCTGGTTGAGTTCTGCAGAAGTCTGTTAATCACGCTTGATGAATATAACATCTATGAGTTTCCAGTCAGGTTTCAGTAGAGCTCATTCCACTGAAACAGCTCTTCCTAGGGTCTTTAATGACCTTCTGATACAAAGTAATGCAGCGGACTGTTCTGTTCTGGTCCTGACTGCAGCCTTTGACACTGTTGACCATCACCTGCTACTGGAGAGATAGGCTGAGAGACTGGGTAGGCCTATCAGGATCAGCTCTGGAGTGGTTCTCCACTTATCTGTCTGAGCATTCCTTGTCTGTGGCCATCTCCAAGTTTCAGTCCTCCACCATCTTCCTCACTGGGAACAGCAGTAGCTCAGGAGGTAGAGCGGGTTGTCCAGTAATCGGAAGGCTACAGGTTCGATCTTGGCTCCGACCAGAGAATGCTGCTGTCGTGTCCTTGGGCAAGATACTTAACCCATGTTGCCTGCTGGTGGTGGTCGGAGGAACCAGTGGCGTCAGTACTCGGCAGCCTCACCTCTGTCAGTGCGCCCCAGGGCATCTGTAGCTATATCGTAGCTCATCCCCACCTGTGTGTGAATGACTGATTGTGTTGTGAAGCATCTTGGAGGGTTGTAGAACCCTAAGAAGGCATTATACAAATACAGGTCATTTATCATTAACCCGCGGTGCCACACAGGGTTCTGTGCTGGGGCCCCTACTCTTCCTCCTCTATCTGCTCTCTCTTCAACACAGCCTGAGCTGCTCTAAAGGAATCTTACCATCTTTATGCAGATGACATCCAACTGTACATCTCCTTAAGCCCCTTGAGATGTCTAAGCTGCAGCTACACTCCTGTTTAGACTATTAAAACCTGGATGGCTGGGAACTTTCTACAGCTAAATGAAGATAAGACTGAGATCCTCATCTGTGTCCCAGACAAGCTGGTTCCCAAAATCAGAGACTCTCTTGGCCAACTTTCTTTTCACACCAAACCCCACCTTTTGTTGTTAACATATTATATGAACGGTTCGTTAATGCTGCTAACTACAAGCACACTGATAAACATTGGTTTGCCATTATTACCTCCTTGAATGACCTGTTTATCCATCTGCTTTTTGAGCTTTACATCACATTAAAGATCGAGTAATCAAAAACATTTCTTTAGTGTACACTCGTTTATATATTTATATAATAAATGTTTAATCTTACTGATATGTTCCATTTATTATCTCCTTGTTAATAATCAGGATGGGTCAAACATTCAAAAATACATTGGACTTTGATTCTGGTTGGTAATTTATGGTAGACTCTCCCTGTTATGTTTTAAATAATACACTGTCCTTAGTGTCAGTTGGTTTAATTTCACCATCATTTTATGGTGTGATTACCAAGAAGGAAATACGAAACACACAGATGATGGTACAGTATTTTGAAATTTTTATAAATTGGGCAAAATACAGTTGGCAACATTTGCTTGTCTCTACAAAACTGTCAGTAAAGAAACAACAAAGAGAAAAGCTGTTTCTCAGGTTTCCCTTTCACGGTACAAAACACTTCAGTCGAGGCTTGGAAAGGACGTTTATGATGTTACCTGAGTGAATCCCTCAGACACAAATACATTTATTCAGCCTCATATCCAACCGTTTTAGTGTGTGTGTGTGTGTTACGGATCCAAGTATGGCGCTAAGGCAAAAGGAGTGCAGAGTGGAAGCTTCCAGAAGACACTTACAAAAGGACTAAGTTTAAAACGGATTCTAAAATATGTACGGGTGTTTGAACAACATACAGTGTAAATGTGTTCCTACAGAGGAGCACTGCTTGAAACGTTAGTGTTACAGAAACACAAACCAGATAAAAAAGAAAAGGTTTGTAGTAAATAAGTTACTGAGATGGTACGAAGTCTGATATTAAATCAGTTTACAGGCATGTGGCAGGAGAACTCACATCAGACAACGATCCCCATGCTGTTCAAGTACAAAGATGCAAACAAAAGACAAAACTGTTGGTGAAAACCTAACAAAATAAAGACACAAATAATCAGCACATACTGTTAGGCATTCGTCTCAACAGAAATGTTTTCCTTTTTTAAACCTAACTACAGTAATTTATTAAATTCAGTCTCTAATTTTGGGAGTAACAAGAAAAATTATAGAGCTTTGTCACACAAAAGGCTCCTCGGCTAATGAACATCGTCATTAGGTTACAGTAACCTAGAAAACATTTCATTTTACTTAACAAAAGGAAGTGCTACGACAAAGTATTTAGGTTGTATTCAATCAAAGGGACACAAACCGGCCATGACAAGTTCACATTCAAATTAACACTGATGTTTTTAACATGGCTAATAACAGCACGAATCCAGCATGTTTGTATGGCATCACACACACAGATGTTACTAAAATAGATGTTTCTGTGCATAGTGTAAATTTGGCTGTGAACGCACAGAGTAAGCTGGTTTCTGCATTTATTTGGCTGCACACTGAGATGTAGTTTCACTAAAACATCTTTAACCATAACATCAGTAATATTTCTGCCCCGTTTACAACTGGTGTGGACATTAGATCTGTATCTGAACATCTGATTTGTTCCTTTTTACCCTTAAACTTGCAGCTGAAATGTCCTTTTAGTGTTTGGATGGAGCTAGAGATTGATTCAAACTCAGGGTGGCTCGTTTTTCTACTAACATGTCATCTTTGTTGAGGGCAGAAATGTGAATTAGTGTTTTTCTGAGCTGATATTACATTCAGTGAAATGTGAAAAGGAAGATGTTGAGTTGGATGAACATGTAGTTCGTATGAGAGCTGTTGAACTAATTTCCCAGACAAGTTAGTGTTAGGGGTACAGAATTCATTATGACACCAGGTGTGTTTGGGGTAGAAGAGTTTAAAGGTTCAAAAGGACCTCAGCAAAGGCAATAAAATAAGCCAATTCCTTACAAAGAAATACTCTGGGTTTAAACCACAGGCACAGTGTGTCTCCAGTGAGTGTGGGGTTTGTGGGGCTGCTCCGGTTGTGTCTCAGCAGGCCTCCCTGGCTTGGCTTGGCACCTTGCACATTTTCAGAATCTGCTTCAGGGCTTTCTGGACATCCTCGTCCATCTGACCCTGAATATGCACACCAAGAGTTTCAGTTATTTAACAAATCTAAGGTAAAATATTGGATAGACTTGTGCAAAAGTGACAACATTAAGGGGAACATATTATGCTAATTTAATTTTTGCAAATTTTTGTGCTGCCACATAGGTCTCTATTACCTCTATAAACACTCAAAATGTTTAAACAAATAATCCATCTGTTTTCTCACATGCAGTTTCCTTTATTGGAAGGAGGACCAGAATTAGAGGCAGGCCTCAATTTCTATTTGAGCAAAATGAACTAATGGTTCGCTGGAGTTTTGACAATTAAAATATCGCCCACATTTTCAAAGTTAAACACATTTCTTTTAACAACGGTAGTTTCTGCTTCAGCCCTCTCCCCCCTCCCCCTGCGCAGCGGCCGCAAACTCACTGATGCGCCTGCAGCCTCTCAGAGTTGCTGCTGCTCTAAACATTAAAATAATTATTTCATTTTCTGTTCCTCACTTCTGATTACCTTCAATGGTGTCTGTTTGTTGCAACCACCAGGTACAAAAACTAACTTGTTTTTATTTGACTATTTTTCTGTCCTGTCTCTGTTTATTATCTTCCTGCATCTCCTCTCAATCCTAAAGAAAAACTGCTACCTGGGTTCATATATATTCACCTTATGAGTTACCTTTGAACTGCAGTTCTAAAAGATCTACCGACCGCAAAACCAGCGGAGTGCTCGCTGGCCGCATCAGTGATAGGTGCGTCAGAGGACAAGGTGATGCGCCCCGCTCCACAGCAGCGAAACGCATCAGGCGCAAATAAAGGACAGAAAACATTAAAGGAAATGAGAGGACATGAACGATTGCGTGTTAAATTAGTTTTTGAGGTGGCGTCACCTGATTTGATAATGTTACTGTGGCCGTGCTCAGGATGCAGATGTCTGGAGTGTGTCAACAATCAGAGCTTTGCATGCACAAGCTGGTTAAGGTTAGGATGGGGGTGAGGGGAATGTTAAATTGCAAGAGGGCTAACGTCACAATTTGGTTAAATGTCCGTTTTACGGCGGGTGTCAGTACCGACGCTCTGGCACAGCGAGTTGCCTCCCGACGCGCAGGAGCTCGTCACCTGCTGACAGCAGGCTGCTGTCTTTTCCGAGGACTGCATCTTGCCGGTCATTATCACGTGACAGCGACTAGTCGATGACAGGCATAAAAAGTCACTATAGAGCGGTGAAGTCGACTAGTGACTAGTTCATACAACCCCGCTACTGCTCCCCAGAGTGTTCTGCAGCATAATCAGCACGTTCTCTTTGAACTTGACATCAAATTTTCGCCTCCTCTTCGTCTCCGCACGGTTAAAGTTACCCTCGCGGTCTATCACTGGCAAATCAAAAGTGAGACGGATGACACAACCGCCCCCCGTACTTGCTTGTTACCACATTCCACCCGGCCACAATAAGAGACCGACCATTATTCACCTCCGCCGACTCCGACACCGGCCAAAATATGACTCCCGGCAGTTAATTAAATACAGGCTAATATTAGAGGATTTACGGTAACTCAGAAGAATAAACAAAACACAGATGGATAAAGACACAAAAGACTGGACTGAAGTAGAACTCTCAGCAACAATCTAAATCTTTTGGTGTGAACCACCTCGAGGCAGACCATTTCTGCTGCGGGACTCGAGATCCACAGGCATTACATGGTAGAATTAGCCAGCAAACTTCTTCTGATGGAGCTGTCAACGAGTCAGCAGCATGAAGCTATGCTAACACTACTAACAACTATACGGTTGCCTTCATTCCTACAAAATTTACATCAGAGATAATTTTTTTTTCTGTTGCCTGCTGCCTGTCCAGGATGTCCGGATATTTGGACATCCTGCCTCTGACTGGATAACAACCACTGACTCTGGTTGCTTTGCAAAATTGATGTTTTATCTCCACTAATTCTGCTGTGTTGTAGAGATGCTAATGCTAAAGGTTAGCCTCTGCTAGTTGAATCATTCTCTCCTGGATGTTAAACCAAAAACAGCCTTCCCAGTCTCGAGCCAAGATGGGTCAGTCCATGACTGTTAAATGTCTAAGCGATGTGCATTTGATTGGTTTATCCCATCCAAGCATCTATCAGAAGCTAATGCAGGAGACGGGGGTAGAAGATTATTTTCACATTCCCAAAAATAACAAGTAAAAAATTGTTTCTCAGTGAAGTTGGTCTTTAATTATATTTTGGATTTACCTGAACAGCATAGAGGAGGTGCATCCTGTAGACAGACACTGTTTCATCATGCTGCTTCTTTGATTCCTACAAACACAAAACTCACAGTTTAGGTCTCAGTAAAACCAAACCGAAAGCAACAACATTATAAATTACAGTATAATCTTTAATCTCAACATTAAATCTTACAGCTAGCTGGTACTGTAACTGTTTGACTTGCTGCTGCAGCGTCTCCAGCTGCTGGCTCTGCTGTTGTCTCTTAGAGGGGGAGCAGGAGCTGTAGGAGAGCTGCGACAGGCTGTTCAGGGCATCCTTTAGCTTTCCTACTTCCCGAGACAAGTCATCTATCTGAACGCAGAAAAGAAAGAATTACAGAAGTCCATAAAAACTACCAGCATCATGTGTTTTCTATGTGAAAGCAGCACCAGAGTGATGATGGTGGTTCTACTGACCCTCTTGTTCTTCTCTCTCTCAGAGTTAACGTGATTCTCCACCAGCTGTTTGAGCTGGCACACAGCATCCTGGGACTCAGCCAGTTTGGAGTTCAGCGTCTGGTTCTCCTTCTCCTTCGTCATCAGCAGCTCCTGCAGGGCTTCCCGCTCTGCACGATTATCCCTTGCCTAACACATGAGGATAAGTGAGCCATGACAGGAAAACCTTTTAAAGTGTGGATATCTTGTTTCTGTTTTTCCAACCTTCTGCCACGCATCAGCCGCCTCCAGAGCCATCTCGTCCTGCTTCCTCAGAGCGCCCTGAAGGAGCTGCGTGAGGTGGTTCACTTCTCCCTCCAGCTGCTCCCGCATGTTCTCATGCTCCAGATGGGAGACAGAGTCCTCTGAAGTTACGTCTTTCTCAGAAGTCAGGCTTTTATTGCAAATATGAGAGAAAAAAAAAAAAATATCTCCTAAAATCAATCTTCCTTGTGATGTTTCTGCTGCCAGTTTGCCTCCTCACCTCTTTTGAAGAGCTTCCACCTGCATGGTTTTTTGGTGCAGCTGCTGTCTCACGGCTTCTAACTCACTCTCCAGCTCCTGGATGGCATTCCCCAGAGACGACACCACCTGTGTGTGATCAGTCAGGGTCACAGAGCTCTGAGTCTGAGCTTCGACCTCCTCCTTCAGGTGTTTAACGTCCTCTTGTGCAGCCGCGTACTTCTTCTCCATCTCATCTAGCAGCATCTGCAGCTCCTCCGCTCTGCTGTTCAGGTCCTGCTTCTCTGAAGAGGTAGACGAAGCCTCAGCCAGCAGCTTCTGGGTGGCATTCAGCTGACTCTTGGTCTCACTGTAGGAGTGTGACAGTTCCAGTAAACGCTGCTGCTGCCCAGCAATGACCTCGTTAAGCTCCGTCTTCATCTCCTCAAAGTCTCTGGCAGCAGATTCAACAGGCACCGTGCCCTTCAGAGCCTCCTAAACATCAGAATGTTACACATTACAGGATGACCAAACTACATGACAGTCACACGGACACTAACTTTGTTACCTGCAACATCCTGATCTCCTCTTGTGCCTCCTTGTACAGCTCATCTATCTGTGCTGCCCTCAGTTCCTTCTCCTCCTCCATCCGTCTGCTCTCCTCCATTCTCCTCAGCGCCTCCTCCAGCTGTCTGACTTGTTGAGCTGCTTCATTTTTCTCTGACTCCAGCTGGATGAGCTGAGTTTTCAGCTGTTTTACCTCAAGGTCCAGTGCAGAAGGTGACTGCTTCTCCGTCAGCTCAGCTTCTCCTCCTCCCATCTGCACCTTCAGATCATCCACCTCCTCCAAAGCCTGATGGTATCTCTCCTGAGTGTCTGTCAGCTTGGCCTGCAGCTCAGCTAAACTCTCCATCAACTCTCTCTCTTTGACATTTCCATCCTCGGGTTTCACCTGAGCCTGGAGCAACTGGTTTTCCTTCCTGGTTTCAAGCAGTTTTATCTGGAGGCTTTCTAGAGCTTGTTTCAACAGCCGGATCTCCTTGTTGCTCCTTCCTCCACTCTCCTCTTCCTGGGGTTTAACAGAAACGTCTCCTGGATGGTCTCCCCCTTCCAGTTGGATTGTAGAGGAGGACTGAGGATCAAAATCATCCTGGGTGGAGTGGAAGGAGTTGTTGGAGGCCATGCTGTTTGGACGACTGACCTCCTTTAGCTCATTTCTTTGTTGAGACGAATGTTTCTGTAAGATCAGAGTGAATCTAGAGTTTATGGATGAGCTTTGAAAACTACAATTCAGCTTATATTAAAGTAAATATCATCAGGACATTTCTATTCTTATATTAATCTGTCTCTGGGTATTTTGGATGTAATAGTACCTCATACATTAACTGAAATTGTAGTTTTATTCCAAATAAAACAACATTCTTGTGTGGCTTTAAACGAGACATTTTTGATTTTAATTAGTCTCTACCGTGCATAGGACCGAGTTGCTCGTGGTTTCCCCTGAACACGACACCACAGCGCAAACCTACCTTGAGTTTGTTTGTGAGTTCTTGTTTCTCCAAAGTAAGAGCCGCAATTTTGGCTTGCAGGGCCGAAACCAGAGCTGCAGACGTTGTTTGCTCGACCTGCCAACAGACGTGCACACACACACACACACACACACACACACACACACACACACACACACACACACACACATACATTCACATGCCACAGGGAGACATAAAGGCAGCATTAAGGACCACTAGCTACACGACAAGTCACGACACGTTGCAAGCTCAGGTTAGACTTCCTTTGAGAATGTTGTGAGACTTCAGGATTAATCTCTGAGGAAAAAGCTGATTCATAAATACGCGCACAAATAAACCAAGACTGGTCCTTTAAATGTTTCATTTTGTTGTAAATAATATTTTTGCCATTATTATAAACGGTGTCTTGAAATGTTGGACCGTTATAAAAATGCTTTCTGATAACTAAAACAAACTAAAGATGAAGACTCCAGAAGACTAGCAATGACCTGTTTAGATGTCTGAACAAATCTAACATACATGAAATAATGAACCCACTCTGTTTATTAATCCTCCCACTGTCACCTAAGCTCTTATCTAGTCAACACACCTGGTTTAAAACCTGCTCACGCGTGAAACAAACAAGTCACCTTCCTGTTGATTTGGTGTTACCTTGATATCCAGCTCAGGACTAGTCACCGTCTCCACCGTCTGCTTCAGGTCTTCGATTGTGTCCAGCAGCATGTTCCTCTCCTCGTGGAGCTTCTCCACCTCTTCTTTCAGGGCTGATCCAGTGAAGTCATCCTCCTTAGATATGAGGGGAGGAGACAAAAGAGAAGGGTGGCGGGAATAAGGAATAACAAGCAGACGGGATAGATTATAGAGGCTGAAGGCAGGAATTTACCTAATCTAATGAAAACACACACAAGGGTGATGGCTAGTGAGGTTTTACCGTATAGTTGAATCTCTTGGGAGTATCTCCTTTGCTGGATGCAGGAGTGCTGGTAGATGTAACAACAGAGGGGGAAGATGGTCCAGAACTCTTAAAGGAGTAGAAAAGAACATATTTTAGCAGCACTTAACTTAGGTTATCATTTATTCACAGTAAATAAGCTGTGCAGAAATGTCATTTATGAAAATTATATGCATTCTAAAACTGCACACAAGTTATGGTTAAAAACAGAGAAACACTGTCAGTCTGTCACAAAGTTTTGAATACTTTTGTACATAAATACTGCAAACATGCATTTATATTAATACTGAGTGGTGAATTGATACAAGCACACACACGTTTACCTGCAGTGGGCTAATAGGAGGTGGAGGTGCTTTTCGTTTTTTGGGAGTTGTGATCCGCTCATCACTTAGCTTAGCTACTTGATCATGCTAAAGAGTCAGCAACAGAAAAAAGAAAGGGAAGGTAACAAAAAGAGAAGTGGGATCAGTGCTGTTAGTAAAAGAAGAGTCGATCAGTGAGTGATACAGTAAGATTTTTTTATAGCAACTAGGAGGCTTATATCAAGAATGGAGACATTCGTTTTTCATTCATAAGAAAACGTAGAATAACAAACTGTTTGCAAACAGCTGACTGACTACATTTGTTAGGGTTAGCTGCTTTTGACTCATAAGATGATTATGATTTAATGAACCAGAAAAGAAATAAAAGTGATATTTATTATTTCAAATCATGAGAATTTGTAAAATATTACGGTTTTATAATAATTATACTTGTACCATTGTCATAATTCTATTATGAGTTCTGACCATATTTGTGTCATTCTCAAAGTTTGGGCCAGAACTGTGTTTTTAGCTTTTAACTGTTCAACCTTTTTCACAGAAAAAGATCTTATTGTTAGCCTCTTGTTCTCATTACAAACTAAAATAGAAAATAAACTTTAATCCATGGTTTGTCCATTGGTTTGTCTGTGTGCCTGTAGAGATTTTAGTAGCTTTAGTACTTTACTGTGTAGGGCTAGAGAAAACAACAGGGAGTCTTACCGGAGGACTTTTAGGAGATTTAGTATCTGTAAAGGAGACAGTAATACGTTAAGACAATAGAAAACATGAAAAAAGAGCAGCCATTAAAATAAAAGAAAAAAGTACATGTAGTAACCAAAATGCAACAACAGAGGGCAGTGTTGGTGCATACTGAAACCAAACTTGTGTGACTCTCTGGTTTTTGCTGGAAAAACTTTAAGTGGAATTTAGCCGGACTTAAAAGCATAATTTATCCAGTTGTAAATATGTTTAGTTTTAGATAAGGGCAGCATCAAGACTGCATACTCTTTTAGTGACCCGACAAGTATATCTTCTGTTGTGTAAACTTTCATAAATGTCCCCAAAATACACATGAGCTAACAAAGAGTGGGTTGACATGTCTTTATATCGTCTTCTGTATGATATTTTACAACTTTTACCTAAATGCAGATGCCTGTCCAGAGCAGCCAACAGGGCAGGTTTTGCTTCAGAGTTTGCTGATAGTTGGACAAAGTGAAACACATCGTTTCCTTCTGAATCTACAGCAAACACGTCTGCTCCTCGCTGAACCAGAACTTCCACCACCGACACGGAGCTGGACTCGGTGGCAAGCATCAAGGCTGTCCTACAAAACACAAAGACTCGTGTGTTTATGCATTTCATTAATCGCTGCGAGACCTCTGGAGACGTGCTGCATGAGGAATTTAACATGTTGGTATGTTTTTACCTGCCGGTGTTGCCAGAAGTGTTGATTTCAGCTCCACAGTCGAGCAAATTGCTGCAGACTTCATTGTGACCATGTCTGGCTGACAACATCAAGGGAGTAATGCCATCCTGTTGGACAAAGACAATAAATACGTTGACTAACATATATTTTACAGAATTACACAAATGCACACAAACATCTACGTCTACATTTTATCAAATAAACACCAGGATGTGGGTTTCCATGTAGTATTTCACCTATCTGTGTGGTGAGAAAAATCACAGGTTTGTGTAAAGAGATCATAAAAAGCTGGTTTTGTTCTGATTTGAGATTACTCGATGTTTTTAAGTCCAGTCAGACACACTGAAGCAGATTTCTCTTGAAAATTAATAAATTATACTTTAATCACAAGTAACCGAACTCACTAAATGAACATTTTCAACATATATAAGCAAATGCAATTGGAAACTGTGCATTAAAAAGTAGTCATATGATCAAAATATGCAGACTTCTTTGTTGTGCTTGTTTTAATCACATAAATTAATGCCTCATGAGGTCATTTAGGTGGCTTTCAGAAAATAAATCCTGAGATTAGGAATATGTTAAAAAGATCTACTGTATGAAATTAATACAACACTGCACTTACTCCTTTGCAAATGAGGTTCATAATTTGCCACTGCATCAAATCCAGTAAAATAATGAAACAAATCAAAATTAAATTTCTAAAACTCTTTTACAAACAAAGCAATTGGTTAAATAATTTTTGTGTGATAAAAACTATAAGAAAAACAGTCTAAACTGACGTGTTCTTTATAACCACGCTGAGCTCCAAATGTCAGAAAACAGGAACATAAGGAAGTTGTAATTCGTTTTATAAAATGACATACAAGTAAAAGAAACTCCCCAAATGGAGTAACTGCAGCTTTCGGATGTAGGCTCGGTGGAATTTATTGCAGTTATCAGAGTTGGCAACCTTCTGCAGTATTTCATGAAATGTAGCACATTTTTCCCCGGGACCGACTGATTCTAACCTCTGCCATGACACTTAATATAAACATGGCTGTGACTCAAGTCCAGCTGAAATATCTGATTGGCTCAAGCTTCTGGAAGACAACATCTGCTGATATTAAAAAGAAGTTAAGAACTAAGCATAATTTAGATTAATGACTGAGCTATGGTGTAAAAACCAGAATTAAGTCAGAAACTTTAATTCCACGGAACATTTACTTAAAGAAGACATATCAATCAATCAACCAATCAATCAATCAATCAATCAATCAATCAATCAATCAATCAATCAAATTTATTTATGAAGCGCTTTTCATACAGATGCAGCTCAAAACGCTTTACAATATTAAAAACAAGATTATCCACCTGTAAGTTAAAATCACCGGTTAAAATTATTTGGTCATAAGAGTTGTGTAAATTTGATTAAAAACTCTGAAAATTCTTCTATAAAAGATGTGCTATTTTTGGGAGGTCTATATACTGTGACACATAGAACTTGAGGAGTCCCAAAAACAGCTGCATTGGATTCAAAAGCGCTAAAATTATAAAATGAAACAGGTTTGGCGGTAAGTGTTGCTGAGAATATAAAGGCAGTACCGCCTCCCTTTTTGCTGCTCCTTGTAGAATACGTAAAATGAAAATTTGGTGGGGAAACCTCTGTGAGAACAACAGGGGCATCTGCACTCAGCCAGGTCTCTGTTAAAAACAAACCGTCCAGGTTGTGATCTAAAATCAAATCATTAATAATAAAAGTTTTATTCAGCAGAGAGCGGACATTCAAAAGTGCCATATTAATGGTAACTGGAGAGGGAGTGACAGTATGATTGTGTGAAAAGTGGAACTATTGGTAAGTGTTTAAGATTACTATAGTTGCATTTGTTTGGTTAATGGTGATTAGGCTGCTCTCTGCTGATAATGACAGGAATTAGTGAGCTGGTGTGAGGTCCAAGTCCAATATGTGAATTACTGTTAAAATCATAGCTGGGGTCATAGGAGCAGGGACCAGCTGGACATCCCAATTGAGTGGGAGGACGGGGTGGAGAGGGCGGGGGCAGCAGGGCATGGCGTGGTGGATAATGGGGGTTGTGGACATGCTAAACTCATTGCCAGGGTACGGGTACCCTGTCTATTTAGATGGAGCCCATCTGCCCCAAACAGATGCCTCCTGCCCCAAAAAATGTTAAAATTATCTATAAAACCAAAGTTGTGCATCACAGTGGCAGAGGAGAGCCAAGTGTTCAAAGATAAAAGTGTACTAAAACGACCTATTCCTCTGCCAAAGGTGGGAGTGGGGCCAGAGATATAAACAGACACATGTGAGTTTTTTAAAAAGTTAAAAAGGTGGATAAAATCACGCTTCAGAAGCTCAGATTGCTGCTTGTGGATGTCATTGGTGCCAGCGTGGATAAAAACCTTACTCACATGTGGATGGAGAGCAATGAGACTGGGGATTTTGCAGCAACATCCATTACTGTTGCTCCAGGGAAGGACAGAGTGAGCGCTCCTCTCATCCGCACATTCCTGATGATTGAATCCCCGATGATGAGCGTGGCGGGTGTGTCAGCGTGCTGATCGCTGTTGCCGGAAGTTCGGGCACGGTGAGGTCCAGGTAGAGGAGCATCTTCAGAGCTGCTGCGACATGTTGTCAGCACAGCAGACGCGTTCCTTGGGTCCGGGGTGAAATGAAGAACTCCTCGACAGGTTCGGGCTGTGATCTGGGGTTTGGCTGGAAGGCTGGAGGAGCTTGACTGCTGCTTCATCAAGGGTTGAGAGGGCTTGAAAGGTGATCCTGCAAAGCGGTGGGGTCCGGGAGCTGTCAGAGGGGGGAAGTCTGGATCCACGGCTCTAAACCTGTTGGTCAGTGGCAGGCGGGAGGGAGGAGAGCGGTGGCAAGCGTGCCATGCTCCCCTACCGCGGCTGGGCGCAACATGGACCAGGCACCCCACATGACTGGAGTGGAGCTGGACGGGGCTTTAGGCTTCTCCCCCTGCTGAAACCAGCGACCGTCCTCTGCAGCAGGGGAGGCATGGGCATTCTGATCCCCAAGTCCAGTCAGCGACCCTATGGTGGATGGTCCGAAAACAGGCTCGAGCTGACCGCACCCACACATTCCCCGTTAAGACGATTGACATATATACTGGACAATTCATGTCCATAGGCTCGAATTATAAGTTTTTGTGCCCTAATGGAGGTTCCCACCACTGCCATTTTGACCGTGTCACAGGTCCCATCATGCCCAGACAATCCAAAAATGGGAAAAGAGGTGGAGCTAAGGGTGGGGGCTGTTACGTTTGGAACAAATGAACCAGTACGTTTGGAACAAATGAGTAGCTACTAGCTAACTTGGCTAACTCAAGAAGCTAAGAAGGGCTCCTTGGACCGGGGTATCCCATCCGCGCGGCAGACTGGCTCCCGTGCAAGGCTGTAGTCATGCTGATCGCCTGTGGAGATCTAATATGGGCTGGGACTGTTAAATTACAAGCGGCGCCTCAGACCGCTGCGATCGTAACCGGGCGCCGTGGCCTTTTACATCAGCTCTTGCTCCACCGTCAGATAAGCGAGACACTAGCTACAAGCTAACCCAAGGCTAACTGAGTTTTTCCTGGCTTTTTCAGCAAGAGAAACACAGTATAGCTTCTCCAAAGTAAAGGCACCACCGTCCTGCTTACTAACGAAATCATAACTAGCTACATACCGTAACTAATGGAATATTTCTGGGTGTTTTTAACGAGAAAAATGCAGTTGAGCATTTCAAAAGTGAAGCAGCATCAACTAAAAGAGCTGTGGTGTTTCTGTGGTCTCCCTCAGAGATCCAGCATGACTACAGCCTCGCTTCAGAGTTGGCCCGGATGCCCCAGGAAACGGGAACAGGTAGCCGCCATGCTATTCTGAGGCAGGAGACAGTAGAAGCTGAGCACCCGCTCAAGTTTCTTACGCAGCCCCACTAACATGTTTGACCAAGCAGTTAAATGACACAGCATTTCCTCCCATTCAATCAGCAAATTATAGTATAGAAATATAATTTTACTTAGTGATTAAAAATATATATAAAAATACTGCTTGGATGGTCTGTTAGTAACCACAGCTTGGCCTGTTGTCCAAATAATTCCATGATTAACATCCAAACACAAACACATAGACAAAACTAAGACTGCTATTAGCAGAGAAGCTCCAATAAATGGGAGGGGCTTGGAGTAGAGTCGCAGGTGTGCCGTTTTGCAGATGAGAGGTGGTTCTATTCTAATGTCCCTGTTTGTGACATCACAAACAGGGACATTTTAACTGCTTGTCACAGGCACATAAATCTCAAAACCAAACACTGACAAAAAGAATGGATGGAATTTTTTTCATGTTTGGAGTGTTTATAGAGGCAGTAGAGACCCACATGCAAAAGGGGAGTTTTGCATAACATATCCTCTTAAAATTTCAAAACAATATGTTATAAAATATTTAGAGAGCCCCATCCAAAGTGTGCTAGCATAGCTGGGTGTTTTGTATTACAAGGTTGATGTTGTTCCCACAGAGTGAACAGAACTGTGTTCTGGGTTCCTCTGAGCTCTGCTAAAGACGTTAACAGCCCATATTTTTGCTCAGTTTGTGTTTCTGCTGCTCTGGAAACTGAAAGGCAAAAATCATTTTTGTCCTTTTCTGGGCAATAGATTAAGTGTGAGTTTGTGTGATTACACAGGTGTATTGCTTGGCTTGCATGTGTAACCAAAGTTGTGTCCAGAACTTGTACTCACCCTGTCGACAAACTGTCCACATTTGGACATTGGCGGGAAAACATGGGTAATGTGAAGCGAAGAAAACGAGAAGCAACTGTTAAAGTACTGTTTCAGTCTCAGAGGCCTGTCAGTCAAAATACCACCGCAATGCTTCAGTTTAACATTTAAACTTTTTATGCAATATTATGCATAGAATTAAAGTAAGAGACATAATCCTAGAAGAAAGTGGCTTTAAATCTTCTGCCTGCAGTTGAAAAAAAGTATATTTTCAATGATCTTCTGCTAGTGGAATGAAGGTGTAGTTGACTTAATTCACATATTATTAAACATGAAATAATAAAGAGCAAGCCACCCTCTACCAGTTTAACACTTGGCAAAAGTAGCAGAGTTTAGTGCTCACCCCATACTCGGGAGGTTGCAAGTTTGAGCCCCATCTGTTGTGTCCTTATGCAATACACTTAACCCACCTTGCCTACTGGTGGTGGTCGGAGCCAGTACTCAGCAGCCTGGCCTCGCCTCTGTCAGCGCGCCCCAGAGCAGCTGTGGCTGCACTGTAGTTTTGCACCACCAGCATGTAAATGTATATGTGTGTCAGAGATTTTTTATAAATACAATATGTCTAACCTGACAGATGTTCCTCTGTTTCTTTTGAGTTTTTACTGTGTGTTTATTTAGGTCAAATATGGATCTGCTGTGGGTAGATGATGCAGCCATGATGTGCGCCCAAGGCTAACAAGCTGGCATGTTCAGGTCAGTATTAAACCTTCATGTTCCAGACGAATGGCTCAAATTCTGCATCCAATAACAAAACACAGAGCAGCTAAAACCTCACACACACACATTTGCACTTGATTACAACTGGGAAAGTGAATGATTCAGTAAAGAGTAAGTGAGTAAGTAAGTGAAAGAGACATGGTGATTCCTCTTGCTTTTTTGCAGAAAACAGCTGTAAACTTGTCTTTTTGACATCAGGTAACCAACAGTCAAATATCTGAAGTTAAGTTTTAAAAGTCGCTACTTATAGTTTATCCAATTTAGAACCAAATAACCTAATATTAACTAAATGTAGATAAAGATCTGGAGAAGTCAGCAATGAGAATTCACTCTGAAAATCCTAAAAGTCAGTTGCACAAAGTTGCAGCATTTACTGTACATATTTCAAAAACAAAAATAAACAGCTTGTTCCTTGCTCTAAATCAGGCTAAAAAGACTTTTTACTGCCAGTAAATGAACATATTTCCAGGAAATTATTGTTGCGTGAGAGTATTATTTTTGTCTGACTGCAGCAGGCAAGAACCAACATAATCCTAAATTACAAATAAACTGTAACCCTCTTAATTTCTTTCCTCTTTCTCAATTTTTCAAACACAAACACAGACATTTTCATGCTTACAACACATCCCGGCTGGGTAAAAACCACAGGCATGGTCTGTCACTGCAATGGAGACCACATGTCTGGAGCTTGAGTTCCCACAGATCTCTGACCTTTTACCTTACACATGCACAGAAATCAATCTTCAAACGGATGACAAAAGAGAGGAAATGTCGTGTCATCAAACTCTTTTAGACTGCAGAAATGTGCAGCAGATAATTTAAAATTATAAAGGCTATGTTTTCATGTCATTACAACTTTTAAAAAAGGAGCACAAGAAAGATGCTCACAATGAGAATCACAAGAGAATCTGCAGATTTCTCTGTCTCCACTGGAAATACTGCTGCTGCTGAGGAAATGTAATTTGGTGGAGCATATTTGTGGTCTTCACCCCTCCACCAAACCAGAAGGAGGATAAGAGTAAAAGTACATACTGTATCTTTTAGGTTGATGGGACTTTTGACTTCACACAGCAGTTGGACAATCTGGACGTTCCCAACAGCAGCTGAGAATAAAGAAATGATAATTATAATCCTTTAATTCCAGATATAAAAGACGATTTTATTGGAATAAAACTGGAGCTTAAACTTAATCTTGCTAGAACATTTTCCCACGTCCTTCTGAAAGCAGGCTGGCTCTATATAAAATCCTTCTGTGTAATTAACTCTGGGGCTGCAGAGACACTCACCAGCATGATGCAGAGCAGTTCTCCCCAAGCTGTCCATGGTGTCAACGGGACACTTGTTCTGCAAATTGAAGAAAAAAATGACTTTACTAGATAAAATCCATGTTCTCTGAGTTTATGTTCAACAAAAAGTAACTTGTGTAGTTCTTTTAACTAATTTCTTCAATGGAAGTGTCCACATTTTAGGTTTATATATTCCAATTAGCAGTTTTTTTCTTTGTTCAACTTTTATTATGTTTCATAAGTTTGTCTTGATTACAGAAGATACTTTGTAACAAACATTTTCCATCACATGTTTTCATGATAATTCTAATAACATGATAAGGACCTCCAAATTGTGATTTTTTTCTGATTATAATCAGTCATTCAGAGTTTTTCATGCGGGCTGAACATGAAAACAGTCTCCTACACCTATCTTCAGGAGCATCCTAACTTTTGATTTACACTAGTGAACACTGCAAATGTTATGAATAAACGAGTAAACCACACCTTTTAAAGTGCAATACTCTTTATGTGCAGCAGTGAGATTAGTGAGGTTTGCATTGCTGAATAACTGCAAATTATCATGCGGTGGGTTAGGTGAGCAGAACCGAGGAGGAAGAGTGGAGCACTTGTGTGTTTGTGTGTGCGCATGTGCGTCTTTCTTCCTGCTAAATTCTGCTGATCAGCCCAGTGAAACTGTCTGGTTTAAGACAAGAGAAAACAATCTGTTCACACTGCAGGATTCATATGATGTGTGTAGAACTTTCACACACTGTGTGTTTGAGTTCAGCCAAAAAAACAGTATCCAACCAAAACGCTGCTGCTAGATGAATTTGTACCAAAACATGTTCTTGCATGATTGGACACATATGAGTTCATCTGTAGCCACAATGTGATGCAAACGACAATTATTGTTTAACTCTCCTTCAGCTTACCTGAATGAGCTTCCTGCAGCATTCCACATGGTTGTTTTTGGCAGCCAGGTGTAAAGGAGAAAAACCTTAACAAAGATGAAAGAAATTGCTCTAAAGTGTCCAAAGGAAAGCATCAAAGCACCTTTTAAGTTGTCTTCCTGAAAATTTGATCCAAATTGTTGCAACAAGTACAACACCGTTTGTTGCTCCCAACCCGACCAGAGTCATTTTATTATGAGCATCTGCCAATTAGGGTTGTCACGGTGTGAAAATTTAGCCTCATGGTTATTATGACCAAAATTATCACCGTTATCGGTATTATCGCGGTATTTTTTTTAAACGTGTTACATTTTCAGACAACTAAATAAACCCTGTATATCAGGAAAATATTGTCCTCAGTTTGTGTAAAAATTTTGCCTAAAATTTGTTATTTTGTAATTATGTTATTTGTTTACATTTTTCCCCGTTAGTCTTTAATATACCAATATTTGCCCATAACTTCTTATTTTTTGTCTGTTTGATGTCATCATTTTTAAAATATTAGATCAGATTAGGGCTGCACGATTATGGCAAAAATTAAATGATGATGATGATGGTGGTGGTGGTGGTGGTAGTGATAATGATGATTGTGATGATGATGATTATGGTGGTGGTGATGATGATGATGATGAGGATAATGATGATGATGATAGTGATAATGTTGATTGTGATGATGATGTTGGTGATAGTGATGATGATGGTGGTGATAATGATGATGGTGATGATGATGTTGGTGACTGTGATGATGATGTTGGTGATTGTGATGACGATTCAATTCAAAAATACTTTATTAATCCCAGAGGGAAATTGATTGCTGTAGTAGCTCAGAATAATAATAATAATCAAGTCATCAAAGAGTTATTGTATATTACAATGGCTGTTGGCAGGAAGGATCTCCAGTAGTGGTCAGTGTTGCAGCAAAACTGAAGAAGCCTCTGACTGAAGACACTCTTCCGTTGTCAGACAGTCTTGTGAAGAGAATGCTCAGGGTTGTCCATAATTTTCTTGATTCTCTGGAGAATCCTTCTTTGCATTATCTCCTCCAGTGGTTCCACAGTCATCCCCAAAACAAAACCAGCCTTTTTTATTAGGCTGTTGAGCCTTTTCAGGTCCCTGCTTCTGATGCTACAAGCCCAACAGACATTGGCTGAAGAGATTACACTCTCAACAATAGACTTGTAGAAGATCTGCAGCATCTTGCTACAGACATTGAAGGACCTAAGCGTCCTCAAGAAGTGCAGTCTGCTGTGTCCCTTCTTGTAAACGGCTTCGCTGTTCTTTCTCCAGTCCAGTCTGTTGTCCAGGTGAACTCCAAGGTATTTGTATTCCTCAACCACTTCCACTTCTCCCATAATGGAAACAGTGTTTGACTCTACCCTGTTTCTTCTGAAGTCTAAAATCATCTCCTTTGTTTTGTTCATGTACAAAGTCAGATGATTGTTTCCACACCATGCTACAAAGCGCTCCACCAGCTCTCTGTACTCAGCTTCCTGTCCATCTCTGATACACCTGACAACTGCAGAGTCATCTGAGTATTTCTGTAGATGACAGGTCTCTGATTTGTACTGGAAGTCTGAGGTGTACAGGGTGAAAAGGAATGGTGAGAGTACAGTTCCCTGTGGTGCTCCAATGTTACTGATCACCTGGTTTGATGTGCAATTCTTCAGCCTCACAAACTGTGGTCTGTTTGTCAGGTAGTCTTTAATCCAGGCGATAGTTGAGGCCCCCACCTGTGTCTTCTGGAGTTTCTGGCAAAGTACATCAGGCTGGATTGTGTTAAATGCACTGGAGAAGTCAAAGAACATGACCCTCACAGTGCTGCCTGCTTTGTCCAGATGACAGTGGATTGGTTGAAGCAGCTGGACGATGGCATCTTCAACTCCAACTCCATGGCGATAAGCAAACTGCAGCGGGTCCTGATATGTCCTAGTTTGCTTATTCAGGTGGACCAACAGGAGTCTCTCCAGGACCTCCATGATGTGGGATGTCAGGGCAACCGGTCTGTAGTCGTCATTGACTGATGGGCGAGTTTTCTTTGGAACTGGAACAAGGCAGGATGTCTTCCACAGGACTGGAACCTTCTCCTGGGCCAGGCTGAGGTTGAAGAGGTGCTGCAGAATCCCTCAGAGCTTCTCTGCACAGGCCTTCAGTACTATGGGGCTGACACCATCTGGATCTGCAGCCTTGTTCCTGTTCAGTCTCTTCAGCTGCCTCTTCACCTGACTTCTAGAGACAGATAGGTGGGAGGAGGAGGTAAATGGGGCAGCAGCATCTCCTGACTTGGTTGAAGACAGATTTATAGAACCAGATGAGTCTATGACTGTGTTAGAGGACAAAAGAGCTGGCGTGTGACAGGAAAATGTTGGATCAGAGGAGGATGGGATGTCTGATTGGCTGGGGACAGGTGAGGAGGATGCTGGGTTTGTTCCTGAACTGAACCTATTGAAGAACTTGTTCAGTTCATTGGCTGTGTCTAGGCTGCCATCTGTGCAATCCTTCCTCTTCTTGAAGCCTGTGATCTTCTTCATCCCTGACCAGACATCTCTGATATTGTTCCTCTGTAGTTTGTTCTCCAGCTTCTTCCTGTATGCCTCCTTGCTGTCTCTGATCTTGATCTTCAGTTGCTTCTGTATACTCCTCAATAATTCCCTGTCTCCCTCCTTGAAGGCTCTTTTTTTCTCATTTAGCAGATTCTTCAGTTCACTGGTGATCCAGGGTTTGTATGCTCACTGTTCTGGTGGGTATGATGTTGTCCACACAGAAGTTTATATAGTCAGTGACACATCCAGTCATGGCATTGATGTCCTCTTCATATCCTTGGCAGTAGGGCAGCACAATATATTGAAAAATTATCGTCATCAGGATAACAAGACGTGCGATAGGCCCATTGCAAAGCACGTCAAAAACGGTGATAAATGCTTGGTTCAAACATTTCTATCCGTGTCATAAATCAACTTTTTGTAAACCAGCTCTGTTTTTTACGCGGATGTATTATTTGACCAATCATATGTAGCCCTTTTGATATGCGGCCAATCAGATGGGTCCGTTCATGTAATACGCCCGCCCCCTACATAGACCCTTAGGTTGGAAAGCAACACCCGAACTGAGTTAGCGGTGCCGTTCCCTTGTTCGTCATGCTGGCTCAGAGCAACAAATGCACTTTGTGCTGAGGTTTCTGGAATCAGCCCTGCTTTCAAACGTGAACGTAAGTCCGCTCTGTGTTGTTAATCATTTTTACCGAGCTGACTAAGACACGCGCCGGTGAACCAACCCACCTTCATGTCGCTAGTGTTCCACCGGGTGGTGATGTTAGCCCCAGGCTCCGGTTAGCTTCCAGCTAAAAAGCCACAGCACTCTCTTCCCAGTCCCACCCTGCTAAAGAGGGCCTGGAAAAGTTCCCCCACACATCAAAGTGATTTTTCATTTATGAGCGTTTATAACCTTGTTAATCAGGATAGTTGATTTGCTGCTGCACATAAACTGTCAGTCAGAAGCTCTGCTAGCCGGTTATCTTAGAGGAGCTAGTTCAATTTGTTAGCTTGTTATCAGAATCATAGTTGCAGTTTCATCATCTGAGCTGCTTTTTAAGATCTAGGTAAACTTGTTCAATTTGGGGTTAAAACCAAACGTTTTCACATATTTTCCATGTAGTTTTTTGCCAGTTCCTCTTCTGAAAGGTGGACAATTGTTTTTCTCTTTCCCTAAGAAAATCTTAATATTCTCCTAGTTTGGCCCAGCACAGTTCACTTCCCATTTACAGACATAGCCTTATATCATAACCACATAAGTGGAGAAAATGCTCAGTAGCAATGAGAGAATTTGCTGTTGCATTTAAGTGATGTTAACTATTATTTAACATTTAAACTTATTTTCTGATTATTTATTTATTTATTCAAAAACCCTGGTAAGGGATGTTTTTCTGTATTTGGAGCATCAGAAAAAGTTTTATGGTGGTGGTGATGTTTTAAAGTCACTGAGAAACTGCATGCATGCAGTTTCTTGTTTTGCTGCTAATACAGTAGCAGGTGCAGCTGCATATTTTTTCAATAAAAATGTTATGTTGTAATGGAATTCATGCATTAGTTTTTGTTTGCTTTGAACCCAGAGCAGCCATCACACGCCAGACGACATCAATACTGCATACTTTAGTATTTGTTCATTTATCGCAAGTAATATCGATATCGCAATATTAAGCACTGTTATAGAATATCACAGGTTTTCCTAATATCGTGCAGCCCTACTTGGCAGAGAGTCATCCAATCTGTGGTCTCAAAACAACCCTGCAGGGCTTCTTTGGCATCCTGTGACCATTTTCTCACAGTTCTTCTTGTCACAGGTTGCCTCTGAACAAGTGGTTTGTATTCTGAGCAGAGAAAAACAAGATTGTATCTGATTCTCCCAGAGGAGGTCGTGTTTTGGGCATGTATGCATTCTTTAAATTTGCATAACACAAATCCAATGTCTTGTTTTCTCTGGTGGAGCAGCTGACAAACTGTTGAAATGTTTGAAGTGTAGCAGAGAGCGAGGCATGATGTCAAGAATGATGTCAGCTGGCTACCTGAATATACTGAATGACCAGGTTATTCCATCTTCCCTGATGGCACGGGCATATTCCAAGATGACAATGCCAGGATTCATCAGGCTCAGATGGTGAAAGAGTGGTTCAGAGAGCATGAGACATCACTTTCACACATGGATTGGCCACCACAGAGTCCAAACCTTAACCCCATTGAGAATCTTTGGAATGTGCTGGAGAAGGCTTTGTGCAGCGGTCAAACTCCACCATCATCAATGCAAGATCTTGGTGAAACATTAATGCAACACTGGATGGAAATAAACCTTGTGGTGTTGCAGAAACTTATTGAAACAATGCCACAGCGAATGTGTTTTCTCGCGATAGGGCAGGCATGCCACAGCTGGCAGGTTTCGCTCTTCACTGTAGAGCTACCTATACTGTATGTCTACCTCAGATCAACTGAAAATCATGTGATCAGGCCTTATTTCCAATCATTTGATCGGATTGGAGCATCATTACAATTTTTAATAATTTTAAAGAATAGGGTTGTCACGGTAACCGGTGTAGCGTAAACCCCGGTAAAAAAGTTGACAATAATAACTGTCTTGTTTTTTAAAAATATATATTATCTTGGTGGATTACCGTGGCTGCGGTGTAGGCGTGATGACCCTTACCAGCCACCGTATCATCTGCTGAAGTTGTCTGCGGCATATGCGCACTTTGTTGTTTACGACCAAAACTTTCTTGCAGCTAAAGCTGAGATAATGGCCAAAGGAGGAGACGGCTGCGCGCAGGACATTTATTATCCTTCAAAGAAGACAAAGTGGGAAGTATGGGTATTTTTTGGATATTTGAAGAATGCCGAGGGACAGTTGATAGAAGACGGCTATCCTGTTTGCAGCCCATGCAGAAAAAGTGTCTGTGAAAGGCAGCAACGCTTCAAATCTCATGACACATCTGTGTGACCATCACCCACAACTCTACAGTCAACGCAAGGCAAGCTAACGTTAGCGTTTTAGCTAAAATGCGTGATCCGAGGATTTGGGTTGAGGGAGAATGTAACGAGTCGCTATATAAAGCAGCCGCAGCACCTGCTACCTGCATATAAACCATGTCGCGGACACCCCCATGTTGAAATGACGCTATGCATTACGGGGCTCCCAGGGGCAGATAAGAGTTGGTCTCTCTCTGAGAATAATTATGAATTTAACAATGATTATTGCCTGATGACATTTTCCCAAACCTGCAAAGCTCACTGGAAGGACACAAACCGAGGACAATATTTTCCTGATATAGGGATTATTACACAAGTAAGGGTAAAAAAAAGTATCTGATTAGAAGGCTACTTGAGTACTGAGTATCATCTGATCTAATATTTTTAAAATGATTACATCAAACAAACAAAAAATAAGAAGTTATGAGCAAATATTGGTATTTTAAAGACTAAAGGGGAAAAATGTAAACGAATAAACAACATAATTACAAAATAACACATTTTAGGCAAAAGTTAGACACAAAATGAGGACAATATGTTCCTGATATAGGCCCTACAGGGTTTATTTTGAAAATGTAACACTTTTAAAAAAATACCGTGATAATACCGAAAACCGAGATAATTTTGGTCACAATAACTGTGAGGTTAAATTTTCACACCGTGACAATCCCATTGCAGAATAGAACAGATCAAACTTTTGTGATACACTCAAGGACCAGCGTACATTAAAGATCAGTATAAACAATATTAAAAAATCTGTCTAAATTACAAATAAAAAAGTACCATAAAAAATGATTACACAGATTTCTGCACACACACAAAAATCACCATAAATCTCTTTTATTCTATCACAGCAGAATCACTGAAGGACATACCAGCAGCATCGGTGACTGACAGGTCAGCTCCATGGGACAAAATCACAGCCAGACACTCCGTTTGGCCACGAGCAGCTGCAACATGAAGACTGGACACAAAATTAAAAGACGTCAGAGATGTTAATGTCAGCAGATACAGTACCCTAACAAATATCTGTACTCATTTATACCTAGAAACACTTTCAAATCAGCTGTGTGGCGAATACATTTAACTTCTGTGTCACCAACATCTACTTGGCAGCTTCAACCATAGTGTCCACATGAAGTATAGGTGTTAGGGAAGTGGTTATTAGTGAAAATACTGAACTAAAACTGTTCTTGGTCATCAGGTGGAACTTCTGTCAGTTTTACGGCAGTTTGACTCTAAAGGAAAAATGTCAAAGTCATTAAAATACAGGATTAGAATATTGTTATTCTGTTTTCTTGTCAACTTTCATTTTCCACATTAATCCTACACACATCAGGCATTAATAATCTGTCTAATCTGAACTGTGCTCATCTATCTGTGCCTGTATGCAGAGGGAAATCAACACAACCCAAGTCCACCTCTGAGACCTGAATGAAAAGAATAAAGCTTTACATACGCTCTTCCTCCTCTTAAGAGTGTGCATGTATGTGTCAACACACAACTACACACAGGATGAAAAACTACATCAAGATGCCTTTGAGTCACGTATTATCACCATGGAGATTTAGTTGACTCCTCTATTGAGCATTCTGAAAAGATGTGGTTTTTGATTCCAGATCCCGACACTCATCAGGAACTACAGACTTATAAACATGCACCTGCCTGTGTGTGTCTGTGCTCCATTTGCACAGACAGAAAAGGTCAAATGATTAGTACATAGTGGTGAAATAAAAAAAGGCTATTTGTTACAGCTTGTGAGAATCTGCATGCTTGCTTCTTACTCTATCTGATCCTGTGTTTGGATTCGAGCTGCTCTGCTTGAACTGCTGAGCACTCGGAGGTCAATAAGGGGTGTTGTGAGCATGATAAAGAGAGGGGTGAAACATTAACGCTGAGGCTCGGTGTTATTGACAGTCTCAGCAGGAGAGTGAACAAGCTCAACTGCCTGTGCAAGAATGAGATCTCAAAACACTGAACGTCATCAAGGCTGCACAAGCCGTTACAAAATGTGACCCTCAGAGATTTGACTAAAAACAGACTTATTTTTAGAACAGTCATTCATTTTTAACGTTGTGGAGACTGAAAGCACTTTCTAAAGACCTGAGGCCATAGGCCTGCTAAAGCATGGAAGACCTTAAAAGAGGTCAAATCAAAACAAAGATGGTTTATTTCACCAAAATACATTTGTTACATAAGTTACTTACAAAATGTGAATGTCTTTCTTTCCTTGATTTAATCATCAGTCTTAAAGAATACTATTACTATAAAGTTTGTGCTATTATTCTGATTCAGAATACCACAAAGAACACAAAGATACAACATCAACAAAACGTCTGATGATGACAAAAGCAATGCTTACGCTGATTTGCCCTCGCTGTCCAGCTTCACAGCATTGGCACCTTTCTTACTGAGAAGGGACACCACTTTGTCCAACTCGCCGTGCTCCACTGATGCCAGCAGGCGCTCGTCATTCTTGTTCCACTCATTGACCTAAAGAAAAAACGAAGACAATTAAACATAAGGAGAACCAAATAAGAAAACACTACTGCTTATTAGAAAATGTTCTCATTTTCATGGAAACACTTTAAATGAGTCCAGACTGGAAATACAGCAATGAAAAAGAAGATGTAGATGCTATCAAAGTTAGAAATGAGGACACTGATGATTTTTTTTTTCATTAAATAATTCACAGCAGTCGCAGCCTGCCAGACACTGAGGTTTCACCCTCGATCCTCCTCTCCAGAGGCTGTGCCGACCGCTCCATCAGTCAGAAATCTTTCTGCTTGTTATTTAAAGATACTTTTCACTAATTTTTTTAAATAAATCTGCTGTGGTCTCTAGTATAAATTAATTGCTTGTGAGTCGTTTCTGTAGAAAAAAAACTCTGGAGCTCCTGTTTCAGGGAGTAGAAGGGGGTGGGTGTGTGAGTGTGTGTGTGGATGTGTGGGTGGGGGGTGGGGGTGGGGGGTTAGGATTATGAATCTTACTCATTAAAATCCATTAAAGGTAAATGTCTTGCCTCTGATTGGCTAACAGCAATGTGACTCTTGCTGCTTTTGCTCACTATTGTTTTTTGGGTAAAAAATGCTAAGTTGAGGTTTTACCTCTACAAATGACACAAGCGTGAAGGAGTTCAGCCATGTTGTGTAGTTGGTAATGTGCTTAGCTTCCACTAGCCGAGGTGCACCCTGCTCTTTCGGCCACATAATGAACACGGGCTTTTGTGATTGCAATAAGACTGCAAATGCTATTTTCTCAGCGATGTAGGAGAGCCTAGTTTTTCTGACCTGATCATTTTCTTGTTTATTTTCTCTTTACGACTAATGTGGGAAATATGGTTTGAAGAAAATATTCATGTTCAGAATGCATGTGAAACTCAGAGTGAATTATCGTACCTTAAAAGGAAGAAGGAGAAGAAGAACACGATTTTTTATAGCGCCTCTCAAGATAAAAATCACAAGGCACTTCACAAAAACAAAAATTAAGGCATAAAAAGATTTCAAAAAGGAGAAAAGAAAAAATATGTAAGGAAAGGGAGAGAGAAAATGAACAGGAAAGAGGGGGATCAGAGGATCCCGGGAAAGGTGGAACAAGAGCAGAACAAGGAGAGGGTGATGATGGTCACACCAGAATCAGCTAGAACAGGTGAGTCTTCAACTGCTTTTTAAAGGAGACCACTGAGTCCACTGATCTCAGGCTCAGGAGGAGAGAGTTCCAGAGTCTGGGGTCACAGCAGCAAAAGATCTGTCACCTTTGGTCTTTAGCCTGGTGCTGCACAACCAGTAGGCTTTGATCACTGGACCTCAGGGCCCTGCTGGGGGTGTAGGGACTGAGAAGATCACCAATGTAATATGGTGCTCGTCCATGTAAGGCCCTAAACACCACAACCAGGGTCTTGAAATGAGTGTTTGGAGGACTTGGTCAGAAGCCGAGCACAGGCATTCTGAACCACCTGTAGACGGTTCAGGGAGGTTCTGCTCAGACACGTGAAAAGAGAGTTGCAGTAGTCTAAGCGTGAGGAGATGAAGGTGTGGATAACTGTCTCAAGTTCAGAGCGGGACAGAATGGGACTCAGCTTTGCAATGTTCCTGAGATGGAAGAAGGAAGAGCGAACAAGAGAACTGACATGAGAATCCAGGGTGAGAGCTGGGTCAAAGGTCACACCAAGATTCCTGACAGAGGGTTTGGTGTGAGAAGCAAGCTGACCAAGAGAGTCTCTGACTTTGGGAACCAGCTTATCTGGGGCACAGATGAGGACCTCAGTCTTAACAAGTATTACGTGTTTTCTCAGTTAACAAGACCTTTAACTATAATATACAAGATGTCTGCATTCCAGCTTCATGGTTCCTTCCAATCTGGTCTAATCTCATATTTTACCATCTCCAGACCATCATGCTATGCATTACAATTACAACAATGTTTTCTAATAATTTATCAACTTTAAGAAATTATTACCTTAGATTGGCAGCCATTTGTGCAAAGGACAGAAAATCACTGACGATAGGTTGCTAATTGATTTCAGTTGTTGGTGAAGTGATAAAATTGTTTGTGAACTACATTAAAGTGCATTTATCTAATGAAAACAAAAAAATAATTGCTAGTGATTCCAAGTTTTGAGCTGTATTTACTCGAAGATGAATTTCAAACTTACTGATCTTTTTGGAAAATATCCAAAAGTTTGAGTTTTATTAAAGTATGTTGTAGCTTATAATAACTGTTAATAATTATTATTGATTATATTATGATTTGTTATAACTAATGTGCATTATTATTATTGTTATTAGCAGGTCTGACTTTGCAGTCAAAATGCCCAAGATGCCCCAAACATGAGTAATGATTCTCAAAGGGGAGCAAATATGTTTCGCTCTGCTACAGCTTGCACAAAGCATTTGTTATCATGATTAAGTGCACAGGCAGGCACACACAAACACCAACTAAATGAGCACCCGTTTGCATCAGTGATAGAGAGATCAGCTATTGGAAAGCCTCGGACATGATCTCATTCAGGTTATATTCTGATTCACAACAGCTACGAGATACAACAGAGCAAGAATTAAGAACAGAAACCACTATAAACTAGGACCTGGCATGGAAAAATGAATTTCCTCCAGCAGAACATGGCTTATTAAAGACAAAGTACAAAGAGGAGGACTGAACTCTTAGCCCCCATGGACTTGGCAAAAACAGCTCATCAGTCAGCTCTCCCTGCAATCAGCTATGAGTATCGGTTTGCAGTGCAGAGTGAGGTTTGACCTGATAGCCTACTGACAGACAGTACACGTTAGGAGAAGCATTGATTCCTCTAATAGATGGGATGAAAACTTGGAAGCTATTTTAGAAAGAGCAATATGCCAGCGCAGCACTGCAAGGTGTAAATAGCTTCTAAGGCAAACACCCAAATGCAACCACTGCAATACATTTTGTATAGCTGGTGGAAAAATGCAGGGCTATAAAAAAAAAACCTTAATGACTTGAACAGTCATGATGACCCCCGAACTCTGCAGCATAACACACAAGGTCATCGACTAGTGAGTGAGTTAAAAATAATAAAAACAATGTTTAAGCTCCATTTTCAAAAAACACTTCCCATAAGATGTCCCAATTTTTTCTTGTTGACAAAAATAAGTTTTTTCATTTTTTTCTTATTAATAAAAATATCTTGATTTCTTTTGCAGAAAGTCATGAGTTGTTGAGCCACTGTAAAGGGCTCTGAGCTAATTGATCTCTAAAAGTAGCAACGCTCAAGATTTCTTTAGAGAAAACAAATAAAACAACAAATAAACATCAAAGGTTCTTTGTTTACATTTTTAACAAGTTTAATTGAAAAATTGGAAGCGTTTGTTTAACGGAAACCAGCACCCCGCTTATCTTGCTTTGTGAATATCAGGAAGGGCAGAACCAGCTGGCTTAATTGAGTGGCTTTATGATACGGAAATAACAGCTAAATAAACTTGTTCCTATAAACGACAGACTCGGTACCCAGAGTGGGTCAGGTGGTGATGTGGCACCAGGTGTTTAAATTCTACCTAATATTAAAACAGACCTTATTGGTCTTTATACAGAAATAATAACTCATTTGATGTTGCACCAGATTTTGCAAACAGGTTTGATTAAGTTTATTTTTCTTTTATTTTTTATAATCCATTCCTTAAAAAGTAATCATGTGGCTGTCTTCAAACATTTTAGTTCAATTTATCTAATTCCTTCTTGGACTTCAGCTTTCCAAATGTCTTTAATTGAGAAAAAACACATTTTACATTTGTGTTTCTCTATGCGTTTGTCTCAAAAAAATTGAGAATGAAAGTGAGAAGAGTTTATCTACCTTGTTTTGTATTCATAAAAAACATGATTAAATACAAAGACGCTCAATAAGTAAAGTAAGTTTAAAGTGTAAGAAGTTTATATTTAAAGCAATACACTCTATAAAGCAGATGTGTTGGAAAAATGTGTGTTTTATGAGGACATAAAAACTACTTTTAAATAAGTGCTAAACTGAATTTACTGCCAGAGAATAACCTCAAATGAACTTAAAGGTTCAAATCTACTGGTAACAAAACAACTTTAACAGGCAACAATGCACTGAACTCCAAACACTGCAGAGAATGAATGGATGAAACCAGAGCAGTCAGAATATTTATGAATGAAAGCTGTACTAATAACATGTGTGGCCTAAAGGTTTTATATTTGCCTCATTCTTAAAGCTGTGTTGTATAAATCTGCTTCTGCAGAAATATGTTCATGCAGTTGTTTGCTGTCAGATTGCTTCTAGGCCCGTATTACAATCCTCTAAACCTTTAGTGCAGTGAGGCAGCAATTATATATATATAAATATATATATATATTTTTTTTTTACTTTTAATAAAGTGATTTGTAATGCCGAGTTTGAAGTTCACGTTTACATTATAAAAAATAGTCGTAAGCAAGAGCTGCAAACGGAAAATAATTAATGACCCAAAACCAAAATAAAAGCCCCGTGCTGGCATTGACAAAATATCAGTTCAAACAATAATGCACACCCTAGTATGACCATGTGACAGGCCTGTGATTTTAATAAGCTAAAGAAATACTGAAGGGCAGTCAGGACAGAGCAACATGACATCAATACTAGACTACATTGTAGGAGACAAGTTTAAGTGGAGCGGAATGCACTGCTCCAGTTACGGCCCCATAAGTTGTGTCATCACAGGAAGACTGTGTTACGATCCAGGCTGTCTAGTGGGCCTGGGGTAACAAGGAGGACACATGCTCGGGTTTTTAAAAGTTTAACAAATTTATTTACACCAAGGAAAAAATAAACACAACTGGACTAAACGGCAGCAACTAAAAAAGTAAAATAAAATGAACTCTACTTAGCCAATACACCTACAAATCAGGGAACCCCATGCACACACAAGAACATTAATGTTCATATCAGGGAAACCCCTGCACATAAAAGACACAAACTGGCTAGAAGAGATTAAAACAAAAGCACGGCGAGGAGCCAACAGGAC